CTGGTGGTCTATAGAGAAATGAAGGAACAAAGTACAAAGGAAGACAAACTCCATTTCTCTGACCGTACCTTGACTTTCAACCATACGAATGATTTTAAACAACTATAAAAATAAGTTTAGTTTTGAAAAGAACCATTTAGGGGCAACTGGGCAGCTCCATCACTTAAGTGTCTGCCTTCGGCTTGGGTCATGATCCCAGGGTCCTGGGATTGAGCCCCATGTGGGACTCCCTGCTCGGCAGAGAGTCTGCTTCTCCCTCTGCCCCTGCTTGTGCTCTCTTTCTCTCACTCAAATTAATAAAGATCTTTAAAAAAATAAAAAGAAGACTTCGCAATACATGTTAGCAGGACAAAATGACATTGTCCACCTCCTGACAGACGCACTGATGCTACAGCTTTGCACCTGTGACACATCTGGCCTGGACCTCACCACGGGAGGCCATCAGACAAACCCACACTGAGGGACCTGCACTCTTCAAAACCGGGAAGCACGAAGCCAGGCCGAGTGACCCCTCGGGGTCACGGAGAAGGAAGACCCAGGACAGCTGCGTGTAACGCGTGAGCAGGGACCTTCTGCCGCTAGACGTTACAGGACATCACTGCAATACATGGCGAAGCTAGAATAAAGTCTCGGGTTAGATAACCGTCTGGCACCCACATTCATTTCCTGATATTGATAACTGGACTGTTAAGTAAGAGAACCCGCTCGCTTCCAGGAAATACACACAACACAGTCAGAGCCCGAGGAACATCGCACCCGCCGCAGATGACCACCAAATAGGTCCAGAGGATAAAACATGCAAGCGGATGGAAGGAAGGATGGACAGATGGACATGAGACAGACGGGCAGACAAACATGGTAAAATGCTACCCTTGGAGACGCTCTGGCTGAAAAATCCACAGGAACTCCTTGTATTCTTTTTGCAACTTTCCCGTGAATCTGAAATCGAGTCCAACTAAAAAGTCAACAGAAAACAAGATTGATCTCTCAAGATCTAAAGGGACAAGAAGCAAATCAACACAACTCTGTATTGAGTTAATGATGGCGCCACAAAGAGGCGCCACAAAAACACAAATACCGTGAGGTTCTGCCTACAAGGGCCCTGGAGGAGTGAGATTCTCCACGGAGGGGCCAGGGGCCACCAGGGGCAGGGGGTGGGGCCTGGTGACCTGCGACTTCACGAGATGGCCACACGGGGGTGATGGCCGCACAGCACTGTGATGGGGTCAATGCCACCGAAGGGCACACGTTGAACCAGTTAAGATGGCAAATTTTAGATCCTACTTTACCATCATTTTTTTTTTAAAGAAAAAAAGCCAAAATCCCCCAGTCTTCATGTGAATTCAAGTTACCTGAATGAATTCAGGATACCCCCTGGAAAGGTCTAGAAACACTGACAGTAGTGAGTACCCCAGCATCCTTAGCTTCTGAACACCACTTTTGACCTAAAGGAACCAGGTGAAAAGTCTAATTCCAGGCCAGGGGACAGGAAATGTTTAAGAGGAGCCTGAGTGGGGGTGCACCTGGGGAGCTCAGTCGGTTGAGCGTCTGACTCTTGATTTCAGCTGAGGTCGTGATCTCAGGGTCCTGGGATCGAGACCCACATGGAGTTCCCTGCTCAGCGGGCCGGGGGTCTGCTTGGGATCCTCCCTCCCCCTGCCCCACCCTCACCCCACTCTCTCTAAAATAAATAAATCTTTAAAAGAAAAAGAAAAAAAGGAGCCTGGAGCATCTTGTCACACCAGCGAGCAAGGGATTGCTCACAGAGGGTTGGTTTATGTTGAAAGGACTCAGAAGCACTCGGGACGAGGCTCCCACGAGGCCCCCACTGCCCCGAGGTGGGTCCATCTGAGCACCAACAGGACAGCAGCCACAGCGACTCGGAACTGTCAACTATGTCTAAGGCCATGATCTCAGGATGACACCACAAGGCCCAACACCCTCACTGGTCACCTGTGGAGGATGCTCTAAGGAGGGAATCGGCTCATTATGTTGGAAACAGGATAATACAAGAAAAAATTCAAGCGTGTATCCTGCCTCTGCGACAGAAACCATCCCTCGGAGTTAGGTTTTCAAAAATAGGTCAGCGAGCAAATGGAGAAAGAATGGAGGGTGGAAAATGATCATTCTCTAACCACCAGGGGAATGACAGATCGAAACCATGCGGCCGGGCACAAAGAGCACCTCAGGGAAGCTGCCACCAAGGAGTCCTCCAGACGGTGCCCCGGGGGACGCAGCCACACTGGCTCAAGTGGGGAGTCCACGGGGCTCGCCCCGAGCAAGGTCCAGGGTGGAGGCGCCACCACAGCCGGCCTGATTGCTTCCACAAAGAGCAGGGAACGCCGAGAACTGGAGCCACAGGAGCCCGAAGAGGCATGCCAGCCATTCAACGTGGGGCCTCGGGCGCTGTCCTGGGATTGCAAAAGAAATGAGACCATAGGGCAGCCTGGGTGGCTCGGTGGTTTAGCGCCGCCTTCGGCCCAGGGCCTGATCCTGGAGACCCGGAATCGAGTCCCGCGTTGGGCTCCCGGCATGGAGCCTGCTTCTCCCTCTGCCTGTGTCTCTGCCTCTCTCTCTCTGTTTCTCATGAAAAAAATAAATAAAATCTTTCATTTTTTTAAAAGATTTATTTATTTGTTTATGATAGACAGAGAGAGAGAGAGAGAGGCAGAGATACAGGCAGAGGGAGAAGCAGGCTCCATGCCGGGAGCCCAACGCGGGACTCGATCCCGGGACTCCAGGACCGCGCCCTGGGCCAAAGGCAGGCGCCAAACCACTGAGCCACCCAGGGATCCCCAAAATAAATAAAATATTTTTTTAAAAAATGAGACCATAAAGATTTACATAGTTAAAAAAAATGAGACCACTGGGGAAATGTGAGCTTAGGCTGGAGGTCTGATGATGCAAAAGGATAACCTGATGTTTTCAGTTGTGACATCAAATTCGTGGCTTTCATTTTTAAAACATGACGAGCTGCCGACTCAAAGTACAGATGAAGGACAGGAGGCCGGCCGGGGCTGGCTTCCAAAGCCGAGGGGGGCGGGGATGGACATGGTGGTGGAGGGAACCTGCCCACCACCAGCCATCTCTGGCCAACTCTGAACGTGAGCATGTGAGATGCTGTATGCTGTACCTCCGTATCGGCTCGAAACATTCCACGCTCCAGAATGCCCGTAACTGCCGCCCCACGGCGGGGGGGGGGGGGGGGGGGGGAGGTCGAAATCGCACCATACACTTCAACGGCAGGAGCCACCAGGACCCAAGACGCTCCTTGGGCAAAGCAGTGAGGACAGGCCATGAGGACGGACCACGGATGCCAGCCATGCCGTGGCGGGGTGGATGCTTCCCTTCAACGCGGATCTGGACGGCCCAGGAGGGCGTCCCCGTGGGACCCGGCCACCCTGTCCACCCAGCAAGTACCTGCACCCCGCCTGCCCCACCCTTGCCAGGTAACCCCGCCTACCCTCCCGGGCTGGGACTCCCCTGTCAAGATGCTCCCACAGGCCCTTCCCCTTGCACGGACGGCACCTGCCTCGGCTGCCTCATCAGGCCCCACGTACCACCCCCACATTTGGCAGGGTGATCCACAAAGGCACTTTCATAAGGCCCCACCAGCTGACGCCTCCAGCTGGGTCTGTCCAGCTCTGCTGCTGGGGGCCCCAGTCAGTACTGGCCAGGAACCACGCGACAGCCTGCCCCCCGTGCACGCAGCCTCCCTGCAGGAGCTCAGCACACCCAAGGTCACAGGCACCAGGTCACCAGGACCTAATTAGGCCAGCCCATCACCACCCGTAGCCCCGGGCTGACCCAGCCTGGCCCTGCCTGCCTGAGCCAGCTTGGCCATGACCTTGGATGTGTGGGGACACCGAGTCACTTCACAGCACTGTCCTCAGAACCACTGGTGCCCTAGGCAGGCTACCAAGGCTCCCCACCACAGCTCACACCCCCGCTGCCACGTGCAGGTGAGGGGCCCCATGTGGCTGCAGAACTGGGGTGCCCCCGCCTGGAGCACAGACAACCCTCAGGGTGTGGACAACGAGAGTGGTGGCTCAGGCAGGGGCACCAAGGGAGCGGTGTCTGTGGGCCAGCAGAAGCGCAGAATGCTTGGTCCCGAGCAGGGGAAGGGGAACGGAAGGGAGGGGACTAGACTGCCTGCAGGCCCTTCGTCCTGGCCTGGCAGCTCTGGGCCAGGCTCTGACAGCGCAGGGCCAGGAGGCCGCTTCTTTCTCCCTGCACCATCCCACCAGCTCTGCTGTCCCCCTGGGGGCAGTCGTGGAAGCTCCGTGTTGTGCAGCAGGGCCACATGCATGGGCGCCAGGGCCATCTGCTACTTTACACCCCTTCCTGGCTGGAGGGCTTGCCCTACGCAGGGTCCCTCATCCTGGCCCTGCCGCTCCTGTCTGCAGAGCAGGGTGCAGAGGGTGGTGAGAGATCGAAGGTGAGACGTTACACGACATCATCCCTGCGAGGAACTAGCAGGCGCTTCCACAGCAGTTTCTACTATTACCCCCAAGAGGCCAGACCCCAGCCGCAGGGAGCGGGTGCTTAAACTGCACCAACGGCCCAGACAGCCACGCAGACGGCCACCAGGTCACCCGGCCACCCAGCCACAGAAGCCTCAGGTGCTTCCTCCCTCCTGGATGTGAAACTAAACAGGACACAGTGTGAGAGCCCCGCCACGTTCAGAGTGGACTGCTGCAAATGCAACACACCAGATTCACTAAAGGCATCACACCCCCTGGGAAGCCATTTATTGCTTCCCTGGGACATCCTCCCTTACCCCAGAGGGAAGACCTCGCAGCTGCAGCTGCGCAGACCAGAGCGCTAGTCTCAGTGGGACGGCGGAGGGAGCGTCTGCTAGGGACATCCCTGTGGGGGCCACACCTGTCCCCACCAAGAGTGAGCCCAGGGACAGCGGGCACGGGGCTTCAGCAGCCCAAACAGCCCGCAGCACCTCTGCAGGATGGCATCCCTCCCCGTCCTCCCCCAGGGGTACTCACGTAAGAAGTGTTTTTCCAGTAAGGCGATTTCCAGGTGACCTTTGATCTCATTTAATCGATCAAACTCTGTCCGGTTAAAGTCCTGGACTCCTGCAGCCATGATGAGGGTCCCTGGTCCAGCCTACAAGAGAAACAGCAAGGGCTCAAGGGAGCTGCCCCAAAGCATCCCGCTTCTCGGAGCAGTGCCCAGGGGACCCCTTGTCTGGGCCCCAGAGCCCCTGGTGGACGAGGAAGGCGTAGTTGTGCAGTAAAGCCCATGTCAGTTCACCTCGGCTTCGCCTCCCGGTGGAAGGGGCATCTCACACAATGTGGATATCTTTGCAGCCCAGTGAGGTCAGCTTTTAGAAATCATTTTAAAAAATTAAAACCAGAAGCGTGACGCTAAGCCTCTCGATAGTCACGCCACTCTCAGGCTGCAGAGGGAAGGAAACCATCCAAACCTGTGCTGGCTGGAGTGCCACCCTCCCGGGACGAGGGTGAACCCAGACACAGGACCTGACCCCTCGCACCCCGGGGCTGGAGTAACAGGCCTCCAGGCAGCGGGGAGGGAGGGTACGTCTGCAGACCAGGCTGCGTCAATCTGAAAGAATGGTGGCTCCCCGAGGTGAGCAAACTCCAAACAGGGGCCTGTCCTGTTCCACGGAGGGCTAATTAAAACCACTGTCTGACGTCCCAAGGGGTGCTGGGCAGGCTCCAGTTACAGTGACCAGTGCCCACTGCAGCTCACCCAGGGGCCTGGCACAGGCGGCTGCTTGCATCCTGCTGACGAGAGGGGAAGGGGTGCAGTGCAGGCCAGCACGGCCAGGCCAGCACAGGCGCACGTGCTGGACACTCCCATGGTCACCCCAATGCTGAGATGGGCAACCACGCACAGCCCCATGAGACAGGGAAGGGGAATCTGGCTCCCAGTGTTGGTTTCCATGACCCCCCTACAGACTGGGTGAGGGTAGAAGGGGAACTAGCCCAGCAGAGTCCAGGACAGACCTGGTGACCCCTCCACTACACGTGTCACCTGCTCTGAGGCCACATCTCAGGAAGGAGGAGTTGACAACGGGAAGCCGGTGAGTTCTGGGAAGACCCTCGGCCTGTGGCTACCCTGCCCCTGGACCTGCTGGACTTTCAACTCCTCTGGCTCCCAGGGTGCGAGTTCCCGTGTCTACCTGCAGCCTCCGGGGGCTGGGCAGCCGTGGGCACAGGGACTGGGGGTGTGGGGTGGAAGGCAGGGTAAGTCCATCTGGTCTGCCACAGGGAGGACAGTGCGTCTGGACCTCCCCCCTGCATTGGGCTGAGCCCTCCCTTGCCCACCACACACCACAATGGCCAAGGCGGTGGCCACACAGCAGAGGGCAGAGCTGGCCAAGAAAGGCGGCTCTGCACAGACGCGGAGGCAGGATGCTCAACTCCACTAGGTCTGCCTGCATCTCCCCAAAGCGAGCAGGATGCTCCCCAGGTCACAGGACCACGTCTGAATGCACAAACCCAGGTCCTCAAAGGCTGCGGTACAGCATGATGGAACGACGTCCATCCGAGACTTGCCCCAGGGCTCCAGGAATCGCCACAGGGCCCCTCAGGGCCCTGGGTGGACTCTGCTAACGGCAGCTCGGAGCTGGAGCCTGGTGGACCGCGGGGTCGGGAGGAGCCGCTCCAGGGGCCTGACCAGCTGGCAGGGAGCACCGGGGGCACGCTGAAGCTCCTAGAGCACGATGCTGAGCTGGGGCCCGGAGGTCTGGACTGGGGTCCTGCCTAGCAAACCCCAAGGCTGCAGTGCCACCGCCATGAAACCAGGAAAGCGGGCTGGGCCACTTCTTCCTGCTTCCTTAGAATGGTGGCCTCCAGCTCCCCACCTCTCAATCTCCCCCGCAACCTCAGGGGCAGGGCCTTGGCTCCTGGAGCAGTCTGCCCCCCATCTCCCAGGGGCCACAGGGTCTCTCATCTGCCCCCAACTCCAGGCTCTGGTCCTGCCCCTGTCTCGCCTCTCCTGCCTGGGCTGTCACCGACCACCTGGTTGGCCTTGCCATCCCGTCCCCATCCCCAGTGCCCCCCGCCCTGGCCACACCCTGACGCTGGACATCATCCCTAAGTGCTGCACCCTCCCCCCCTGCACACCCACCTCTTGGGCCTCCTCAAGCCTGTCTGCCGACCCAGGACCCTCCCCTGCCCACACCCTTCCCCTCAACCACTGCGTCCACTTATCACCTCCCCCCGGGACACAGTGTGAGCCCAGCCAGGCGTGAAAGGACAAGTACTATGGGGTCCTCTCCTATGAGGTCCCTGGAGGAGCTGATCCAGAGATGAGAGTAGATGGTGGGTGCCATGGGCTGGGGGCTGGGAGCTGGGGGTGGGGGTGGGTGTCAGTGTTAATGGGGACGGGATTTCCATCTGGGGTGATGAAGTTCTGGCCACAGATGGGGGTGATGGCTGCACAACACCGTGAGCACACTGAATGCCACTGCACTGTACCCGTAACCGTGGTCCAAACGGTGAGTTTCAGGTATGGTTTACCACAATAAAAAATAAATAAGTGCAAAGAACAAAGCCTGAGCAAAAAGATGACAACTCTCCCTCACAGCGACAACCACAAATCAGAGCCACTCTCTTCACCCCTCGAGCTGGCAGTGGGACGGTAGCAGGTGCAGGACGTGAGCTGGGAGGACAAGCAGGGAGAGGCTAACATCAACGGCACATCCCAGCGCCCCCACCGCGGAGGAGCCTGGTGGGCCCTGCTCACACAGCCCCGTGTCCACCACCACTCAACCTCCCCGCAGCCTCAGACCCGACCTCAAAGTGGGGCGCAGGCAGGGCCCTGCAGACCCTCTGCCCTGCCGGCCGTCATCCCCACACAGGGGACTGCACTCCAGGGTATGTCCAGGTCTCTACTGACACAGCACCCAGAGCAAGGTGGCTGCTGCTGAGTCCTGGCTGGGTGGACAGACGGAGCAGAGGAGTCCTCTGCAGGATCCCTGTCATGCCCCATGGTGAGCTCAGACCCTCACGGAGGGATTCCTGCTGCTGAGATGCCACGGCACCCTGGGCCCAGAGACCACCACGGGAGGGCCATGGCTCACGGTGCCTGGGCTGGCAGCGGCCAGGATGGGGAAGACACCACTTTCCTTGCAAGACAAGCCCGTGGTGTTCTGCAACAAACGGGCACCGGGAGACCCAGCGGCGGAGCCCTGGACCCCCCAACGGACCCCGAGGCTGGAGGACCAGCCCACCTGTGCCAGGGGACAGCGGGCAATGGCCAGCCAGGCTCCCCGCCCGGCTCTGCAGTGCCTGAACCACCCGATCGGGCAGCCCGGCTCCTAGGAGGCAGTGCCTGTAAATTATTCATTCCTGCTGGGAGCACACTCGTAGTCCCCATTCTGTTCTAAGGCATTAATAATATAAGTAGCCAGAGAAGGCGAGCATGCAGAGACCACACCTGGGAAGGAAAGCTGCTCGGATGCTCGGAGAAGACACCGAGGGGCCGCCCACCTTGGCCATGCTCACAGGGCAGGAGGGCTCGAGGCTTCTTCACTGACAAAGGGGAAGACTCAGGCACTGTGCCCACGATGGTGAGCGCCGCAATCACACCAGGCCTGAGAGCCCGCCTCACCCCTGCCCCACTCCCAGCCGACGAGGCACCAGCTTCCAGAAGGCAGGGCCCCCTCAAGCCGGGTTCCTGCTGCAGCCACGCGGCCCAGTGGAGGTGTTCAGAGCATCCTTGCTGCCCCGTTAAAGATGCCCTGCGGACCAGCCCACAGTGGCCAGCTCTGTCTCCCCACGGGACGACACAGGCCCAGCCTGGGCTCAGCCAGCTGCCAGGGGGCGAGGATGTCAGGCTGGGGTCCCTGAGTCACTTCCACACGAGAAGTCTGCCAACCACCCAGGAAATGGGTGAGGAAGGAAATCCCACAGCTGGACAGACCTGCAGTTTGGGCAAAGCTGCCCAATCCTTGATTGGGGGGATGAGCAGCTGCCCGTGAGGTCCGGAGGGGAGCAAGACCAGCACAGAGGGGAAGCCGGGGCAGGCAGGACAGGCCTGCCAACTCCATGCTCAGCTTGGCCATCTGAGGATGAAGGACAGTCCCTCGCCCCACGCCGCGGGACCCGGGGCCAAGGCCGGGCAGGGGAGGCTCGCACGGAGTACTCACAGGGTCCCTCAGCTCCTCGCTGTCCCGGGGCGAGGTCCGAGGTATTTTCAGGGGCACTTCATCCCCGCATTCGGTGTCCGAGGCATTTGGAGACTCTGCTAGATCGAGGAAGTCATCTCTCTTGTGACCTCTGAACCTGATTTTGTCCAGCCTCCTTAGCATGTTCAGCACTGAGCCCCTCTGCTTTACCTTAACATGACGGTCGGGGTCCCTGCAAGAGAAGAGAGGAGGAGACTCGATCACTTGCCCACACAGCACACCAACCAGCCTGAGCACACCCTCGGTCCTGTTCCCACGCCCTGCCCACGGCTCCCACCTTGCACCCACCAGCCACCAGCCTGGGCCCCTCCACCACTCTGACTCAGCTGGCCAGGCTCCCGCCCCCGCCCCTGCCCCTGCCCCTGATCAAAGCGCCCCACTCCCCCTCCGTGGGCCCCACAAGGCAGAAGGAAGCCGAGGCTCTCAGCAGGACCTTCCCAGCCATAGAGACAGCCAGGCTGGTGCACAGGGAGGCCAGAGACCCTGGGAAAAGCTAGGGTAGAAATGCTTCAAAGAAAAGAGGAGGGCTGACCGCTCCTCAGAGGCCCTCCTCACCAGCCAACCGTCAGGGACACGGTCAAAGCTGTAGCTATGCACACTGCCCAGAAACCACTGGAATGCTCAGCGTTAGTGTCTCAGCAGAGCCCTGGCTTCACGTCCCGACTGGGCCTAGTCCCTGCTCCCCGGGACACGACCCAGGCGGCTCTGTCTCCCTAAAGCACCTTCCTGCTCGCCTAGGCAGCCCTCCCTGGCTTGCTGAGGTCTTCCACACACGGGCTGGTCCAGAGCCCAGGGCTTGCCCACCTGCGTCCCCTCCAGCCTGGAACCACCACAGCAAAGACCCGGTGTGGGGGTCACACTGGGGGGGAGGGCACGTGTGCATTGAAACTCGAATGTCCACCCAGAGCTGTAGCAGGGTGCCCCACGTCTCTGTGCCAACTTGACCGGGAGACGCAAGCCGGCCCCCCAAAGCCCCCATGGGCAGAGTATGAGGGGCTTGTCTGCACGTCCAGCCAACCTCACTCTGAAGCCCCTAGCAGAAGCCACAAACCCCAACCCGAGTCCCTGTCACACAAGTCCTGGACCAGGGCTGCCAGGTCGGGGGCCTCCCACCAGCCCCAGCCCCCCAGCTTCTGCACGAGGCCCTGAGTCCCCTGCAGGAGGTAGGGGTCCCCAGACACAACTGGGCTCAGAGCCTGCTCTGCTGCTCACCACCCTTCTGGGCCTCGGCTTCCACCTCTCGAGGAATAATGCCAGTGAGGCCACCGTGTTCTGGGAGCTCTAGATGACGCACACATGCCCCCATACACACACCAGCATCTCCGTGCAAGGCAGGCAGGGCAGGGGCTACCCAAGATGGAATCCATCCATTTGGCCCCAGCTGTCCCAGTTGGGGAATCTCACAGAGAACCACAAAGGCAGGGAAACCACTTCCTGTTTGGGACCACACGGGCACAACAACCCTCAAAGGATGCTTAAATCACGGCCCAGGGTGTCTGCCTCCACCCTGCAAGGGCCCTCCGCTCCCCCAGCAACTTCTCCCACCCTTCGTGGCAATGCCAACAGTGGGGCTCGCAAGAGTCTGAGCGGAATGGCCCAGAACTCGCTTTGGTCTGAGAAACAGCGGGGGCGCACAGTATGTGGAGGAAGGGGCCCCATGGGCTCCTGGGCCAGGTGCTCCTCGGAGCTTGTTTGGAACACTACAAGGTGGCCTGGTACAGCCCTACTGGTAAAAACCACAGGGCAGGGGATCCCTGGGTGGCTCAGCGGTTTTGCGCCTGCCTTTGGCCCAGGGCGCGATCCTGGAGTCCCGGAATCAAGTCCCGCATCGGGCTCCCAGCATGGAGCCTGCTTCCCCTCTGCCTGTGTCTCTGCCCCCCCCCCTCTCTGCTCTGTGTCTATCATAAATAAATAAAAATAAGTCTTTAAAAAAAAAAACCACAGGGCACCCAATGCCCTCAGGAGCCAGGAGAGTCCAGAAGTGCATGATGCTGGAGGGAGGGAGGGGGCTGGGGGGCCGTGGGCAGGCGTGGAAGGCCGTGGAGGGCGGTGGGGGGCCACAGGGAGCTAGGGCAGCTGTGGAGGGTTGTGGGGGGCCAAGGTGGCTGTGGGCAGCTATGGGGGGCCGTGGGCAGCCAGGACAGCAAGCTGCTTGCATGTGGGTGGGGGCACAGGCCGGCCACCTGGAAAAACAGCTGCTGTGAGCTCCACATAGATGAAACGGGGAAGTATATTTAAAAGAAAAGAAAAGAAAAGAAACCCAAAGAAAATAGAACTGTGCTGACCAAGTCCCTAGAGACGGGGTAACGGTCTGTAAAGAGAAATGACAAAAATAATCACAGAGTCAAAGAGTCCAACAGTCAAGTGGACAAAAGCAAATTTTCATTTGTTTTTCCTTTTTACAGATTTATTTATTTGAGAGAAGAGCTAGAGAGAGCCCGAGCAGGGGGGAAGAGCAGAGAGTGAGGGGGAAGCAGGTTCCCTGCTGATCAGGGAGCCTGACGCGGGACTCGATCCCAGGACCCCAGGATCACGGCCTGAGCCGAAGGCAGACACCCAACCGACTGGACCACCAGGTGCCCCCAAATTTCCACTTGTTAAAAAAAAAAAAACCGCAGTGCAACCATGAACAGGTGTGGCCAATACAATACACGAAGGACAAGCATCCCCGCTCTGCGACCGCTCAGATAAACGGGCAAAAGCTACAGGACCTGGTACACAGACGGGCGAATTCCCGGAGCAGAGGAATTCGCAGCCAGAGGAAATCTACCCACCACTGAGCAAACACCTCCAACTTCCCTAAATAGGAAACACACGCCAGTCCATGTGGCAGGAGGCGGCAGGAACCGTGAACACGGAGACGCCCTCGGAGCCAGCGATGCTGCCTCTTGAGAGCGAACCCAGCACGTGGGGAGTGTCTCGCCCCCTCGGCGACAGGTGACCCAGCAGCATGCCACCACCCGGCCGCCCCCACGCCCAGGCACGGCGTGCTGGAACGTCACACGGCCCGCACACAGGAGGCCGGCCCGAGAGACCAAGGCCGCCACTGGGCCCCGTTACGGCAAACAGGTGTCTAAAGAGACCAGAGGAGACAGGAGCTTGCGTGGGGTGCTCTGCAAAACTCTCTCCAGACGTCCCATGACGCGTTCCTACCGCGTCTTAAACCACAAAAATAAAAGACTGGGTACGGGAAGTACAGCAATGTAAAACCTATTTCCTTTCATTTTCAGAAAGACCCGAGGGATCCCTCGGCATCCGGCCTCAGAGGAAAGCAGGGCGGAGGAGACGGGCCAGGCAGGGACCACGGCTGGGGCACAGGGACACCTGGCTGACGTGTGCCTAGAGGAAAGGCTCAGGGTTGGCCTCACGCTGGCCAAGCTCGGTGCCTCTTGCACGGCTCTAGTTGGGTGGGTTCTCGCCATTCGGGATTCTCGACGGTCCCCGGGCCGGGGCCGCCCTCCTCCCCAGTTCATCTCCAGCAAGCAAATGAGGTGCCAGCACACGGAGGGAGGACAAAGCACCGAGTGTCCAGCCCGGCACCATCGGAAGGCAGTGCACGCCCCGGGCCCAGCCCCACACACTCGGCTAGCCAGGGGCCGTCCTTCCAACTCTAGGCTCCCTGGGCGGGCTCCTCACGTGAGACCGAGGGAGGGGGCTGTCCACCCGAGCAAGGGGCTCCCAGGGGCCCGTCCCTGTCCCCCTGCTCCCCCAGGCTCCTTGGGCCCCCCAAGAGGATGGTCCTCCACACTGCTGTCGGATCAGGACCAGACCCACGACTCCACCCCTGCCTGGGGATGGGTCCAGGCTGTAAAGGGGGCCACGGTGCACCCCTGTGCTGGCTGCAGCGTGGCTCAGCCCCAGAACTACCGTACCTCAATTACATCTGTAAAGTCTCTAAGTAAGGTCATGTTCACAAAATCCGGGGGGGGGGGTGCATTAAGGTGCGACCCAGTTCACCCCCTGCCACCAGCTGTCAGATGTAGATGGAGGACTGGTATGGCCCACTGTCTTGGACACGGAGGAGCCGGGTCTCAGATGCTGAGTGTGACCCAGAGCCAAGCATTCCACACGGAGCCACTCGACAGTGGGCACCCCCTCGACAAATGTCACCTGTACCCTGCACTCTGGCAGCCGCTGCTCTGCGTCCCCCAGCCCTCCCCGATGCCCCCCAGAGCCGTGCGTCCCCTCTGCAGTCTCCCACCCCCTGATGCCCCCCCAGAGCCGTGCATCCCCCAGCACCCCCAGATGCCCCCCAAAACCGTGCATCCCCCAGCCCCCCCACATGCCCCCCCAGAGCTGTGCATTCCCTCTACAGCCCCCCACCCCCTCAGATGCCCCCCAGAGCCGTGCATCCCCCTGCACCCCCCAGATGCTCCCCTAGAGCTGTGCATTCCCTCTACAGCCCCCCACCCCCTCAGATGCACCCCCAGAGCCGTGCATCCCCCAGCCCCTCCCAGATGCCCCCTGGAGCCATGTATCCCCCAGCCCCCCCCACATGACCCCCAGAGCTGTGCATCCCACAGCCCCTCCCAAATGCCCCCCTGGAGCCGTGCATCTCCAGCCCCCCCACTTGCCCCCCCAGAGCTGTGCATCCCCTCTACAGCCCCCCACATCCCCCAGCCCCTCCCCCAGCCCCCCCAGAGCCGTGCATACCCCAGGCCCTCCAGATGCCCCCCAGAGCCGTGCATCCCCTCTACAGCCCCCCACATCCCCCAGCCCCTCCCAAATGCCCCCTGGAGCTATACATCCCCAGCCCCCCCACTTGCCCCCCCCAGAGCCGTGCATCTACCAGTCTCCCCCAGATGCCCCTCTGGAGCTGTGCATCCCCTCTACAGCCCCCCACCCCCTCAGATGCCCCCCCAGAGCCGTGCATCCCCCTGCACCCCCCCGGTGCCATGCATCCCCTCTACAGCCCCCCATCCCTCAGAAGCCCCCCAGAGCTGTGCATCCCCCAGCCGCCCCACTTGCCCCACAGAGCCATGCATCCCCTCTACAGCCCCCCACCCCCTCAGATGCCCCCCAGAGCCATGCATCCCCCAGCCACCCCCCCCGGAGCCGGGTGTCCCCTCTGCAGCCCCCCACCAGGCCCAGCCCAGGCAGCTCCAGTAAGCGTCCCTCCCCCCCCACCACCACCGCCACCCTAGGTGACCCAAGCGCTCAGCAGGGTCTGCT